CCAAATATTATTGGTAGCCGAAGGTTATATTTTGGCGACCAAAAAATGAGTTGGTCGCAGAAAGTGGTATGCTTTTGCCGACCAACTACAAATTTGGTCGCGGAAGGTCACATTTTTTTTGGCGACCAAAAATTTGGTCGCCAAAAACTTATTTTTAGCAACAAAAAAAAAATTAGTCACCAAATTAGTACTTTTAGCGACTAATATTTTAGTCGCTGTTGATTGAGATTTGGCGACTAAAAATATTTGTCGGCGAAGGTACTTTTTTTGCGACTAATATGATCTTTTTGTCGCCAAAAATTATTTTTTTCTTTGGCAACCAAAAATTTGGTTGCTAAAAACTTATTTTCAGCAACCAAAAAAATCAGTCACCAGATTAATACATTTAGCGACTAATATTTTAGTCGCCGTTGATTGAGATTTGGCGACTAAAAAGATTTGTCGTCGAAGATAGCTTTTCTGCGACTAATATTTTCGTCGCCAAATATTAATGATTTTTTTTTACTTTTGATCTTTGCCGACCAAAAATGTGGTTGGCAAAATACTTATTTTTAGTGACCAAAAAACATTTTGTCGGCAATAAAATTAAACAATTTCAAAAACACAGATTCATTTTTTGGTGGGAATACACTTTTACATTACCGCCTAATTTATTTTCTATCAATATGTAGATAGACCCAAACAAGTTCAGTCTCTTGCTCTCTCTGTCTCTCTCTGTCTCTCTCTCAGACTCACCATCGTTGATTCGCCGTTCACAGTCACCGTCGTTCTTCCACCGTCGTTCACCCTCGATCTTCCACTGTCGCGCATCATTACAAATCAAAGTGCAACAATGGTAACCTCTCTCTCTCTCTCTCTCTCTCTCTATATCTCTATATCTCTATACATACAAATATGTGTAGCTAATTTCAAATTAGATTTAGGGTGAATAACGGGGGTTTCGAGGGAACTAGGGTTTTGTTCTTCGCTTTGTTGCTCTTCTTCCAAGGGGGCGGCATGGATTTCTCCAAGGTCGGAGAGAAGCTTCTCAGCTCAGTTCGCTCTGCCCAATCTCTCAGCCTCCTTCCTTCCACTTCCGATCGTCCCGAGGTAATTAATCCCTCATTATGCTTATTTTGCATACATATTTATGTGGGTTTGTATTTTGCTACATGGGTTTCTTCAGTAATGTAGTTTTTTAGGTACCCAAATTGAGTTAATGAACTCACAGCTAGTGTTGAATTTTGATCAACATCATCAGTGTTGACTTGGGTTTCTATTTTGCATATCGATTAATAGACTAAATTGAGCTGGTGAACTTAGAGGGAATTATGCATCTAATTAAAATTTTCTTTTTATTTATTGTTTTATTTTTTACCTTGACTAGTGTTGATTTGGGGTTTGACTGAATTTTATTGGTTGGATTGGAAATTGGGTTTCTTTACCTACTCCTTGAAATTCATCAGCAGATTAGGTCGATTGGGTACACTTTTGTTGCAGTTATGATAAGAGTGATGTGCTTAGTAAAAATATGTGTGGCAACTCATGTGTTAGTATTACCTGCATCACTGTGTCTTGAGGTATTTCAAAAAAAATTACCACAATTAATTTTCTCAATTAGCGCATAGTTGCATGTAACTTCTTTGAACATGTAGACTTGAGGGAGCAGCTATTAGAAAAGCGAAACAGATGTAAATGAAATGAGGTGTAATGTGATGAAAAGAATATAAATGGCTTTTTAATTTTTTTTATAAGAACGGATATAAAGTTGAGGCCATTAATTGGGGCTACTTATAATTTTTATTTATTATGAGAATTTGTGCCAAAGTATTCGGTGTAGCTACTTACATTTTATAAGGCAAAAATACATTAAATAAGCTGAAAAAGTTGATTATTGAAAAGTTGAGAGAAGGATGCTTTAAGTTTCTTCGTTATGATGATTAGCTATACTAAACAGACCCCTTATAGGTAGAGACATAATGATGAAACCAATTTAGGAATTGGATTCCATGATAGAGAAAATGCTGAAATTAGGGATAAAGAGCACTTAGCTCAATAGATACAATCTCAAAATGTCACAAACTGATTATAATGAGCCTAAACCGCCTACTTGTAGACTAAATACCCAACTAAGCACTTATGGTTAGCTCGTGCACAGCTGGCCATTCTATAGACAACTAAATCTTATTACATCACATTACTTGGAGGCTGGATTACAAGTTTTATTTTATTTGGTCGTGTGGTTGGAAGAGGGGATGAAAAGGGTCTGGTTTCAAAGTTGAAAATATTTTGATTGTCTTGAATAGGTATTGAGGACAACTTAGAAAACATGACCTTTGAATATTAAAATTTCATCTTTAAGGAACCAAGACTATGACTGATAAAATAAAGGGTGAATTACACGAACCTTTCCTGATGTTTAATATGATTATGTCACACCCCTATGTTTTGACAAAATTACATTGATCTACCCTATCAAAAACAACTCTAACAAAAGTAATGAATTTATTATATTATCCTTTCTATCTAAAATGACTTTTTCGCATAATAAATTCCTAAATTACTGATTCACTTCTTGAGTAAACTCGGTGATTCCATGCTGTCATCTCCCTTTACCCAAACGCACCATTATCATCCCCATGAATGATGATAAGTGCGAAACACTGCCACCCACACTTCGCGACCATAGCCTCACAAGACCATTGTCTCCCAATCTTTCAACTCTCTCTCTCTCTCTCTCTCTCTCTCTCTCTCTCTTTTCCGCTCTTCATCAAACCCAACCAAGTGAGTTGGTTAGGTGGATTCTTGGAGTGTCAACTCCAGAAGGTCCCACATGAAGTGGGCTTGATTCCAGCTCGAGCTTGAGCACGTTTTTATTTTCCAAAAAGCTCCAAATTGCCTTGCTCGATCAGCGCTCAAGCGGGCTCTAGGTTTGGATCAATTGTTGACCTAATTAGGTCAATAATTATTTTTTTTTTATAAATTGATACCTGGTTTTCTTTGTAATATAAGGAAATGTACTTTGGAACATGTATGGTGATTTAACTGCATCATCTGGTATTGGGGGTGTTTGGCAAGAAAATAAATAGCTTAGTTTAGGCTAAAATTTACAAAAAGACAAAATAGGTTAAAATAGCTAATAAGACAAAATATCACATCAAACCCATAATCATTTCACTTTTTCTCTCACAAACATCACATCCAACCACAAAATAATCCAATCATCTTCTCAAACACAAAAATTTTAGCCTACTAAAATAGCCAAAAACTAAAATAGCCTACTAAAATAGTAACTTCCCAAACGAAGCCATTGTTATTAAGATGTTCAACTTGTCGGCCTGTATAATGATCCGTATACTTCATATCAACCAGAAGATGCTTGGTCTTGTCAATTTTATTTCTTGGGGAAATTGGTTACAATTCTCGATTCTTTCTTTGCTTTTATACTCCGTTTCCCACATGTTGGTCTTTTTACTTTTGATTTTTTGGATTTTGCATCAGGAATACAATTTCTGCTTCAATCATTCTAGTTTTCATATTGAATTGATCGAACCTTTCATTGTGTGTTAACTTTACATGAATTAGTGATTGTCAACCTTTCACATGAATTAGTGATTGTTCGTTGCACTATGAATGTGTGTTAACTTTACATTTTACATTGATATTCCTATTCTAGGTTCTGTTTTGGAACTCTGAAGTTTGTCCAGTTGTGTTCAAGCTCAACTCCAGCTGACTGGTCCATATAAAGAAGATTAATTGTTTGTATTTAGTTTATCTAAATTTCTAATTGAACCAGTTCTATAATTATAGTTGTATATGTGTATGTATTGGCCCTTGAAAAGAACAAGTTAGCAAAGAACTAGAAAGAGGAGGATTCCAACCAACCTCAAAACATGTTAGGAAGAGAAGTACATAGAAGATAATTCAATTTGCTTTTTTAATGAAATTTTAGGTGGTTTTACCTTGTGTTTCCTTCATTGGATTTGAACTCTTATGAATAATTATGGTTTCTCCATCTGTTTAACAACTCCTCAAGCTTCCAAGGTTCCCTTTAACTTTCACATGTGTTTATGTGAGGATGAGGTAACCATTATTATAGCAAAAAAGAGAGAATATGATTGAACTACATGAATATTTTTCATGCATGTTTCTTTTTAAACAAAAGTATATATCTTCTGTGTCAAATTTTTGCAAATTCACTCTCCATCCCTCTATCAAAATTTATGTTTCTTTGGTTAATAGTGTGTTTAAATTGAAGTTATACATAATTAAGGAAAGAAAGATGACAATGAAATCTATTTGGTGGTTGGGATTGCATAAAAAATAAAGTAACACAATTTGCAATTATTTTTATTGTGTGAAACAGTGGAAAACAAATGACATGATAGCCAATTTTGATGCACCATTCTAGAAAACATTTATTAAAATTTTCTTGAAAATATCTTTACTCAACAAAATATTTAAGATAGTTTTTGGTTTGATAATGGACATTAGAAGCAAGATCAACTTTAAAATAGTTGAGCAAAATCATCTCATGTGTTATCTTTATTTTGAAATAAGGTGTGCCATTTCTAACATAACATTAAGGGAGAAATTCCCTTTTTACTAAACTTAGACGGATTCTGACCCTTTGTGTACGGATATCATAAAATATCATTCAAAACATAATAATAGCTATTGATACCCTTTTCTCATTGTCTTTCCTTTGGCTTTGGCCTTGGTTGCCTTCACCTTGGGGTGGCCGTAGCTTGCCTCGACCTAGTGATGGCCTTGGATTGCCTTGGCCTAGGGGTGGCCTTGGTTTCCTTAGACTTACCCTTGGTTCTAAGCCTTGTATGATTATATCTTAAATTTATTGTCTTTCAAGTCCAATGTCTAAGTTACTTGGGCTTTGGTGGTGGCCTTCATTGACTTGGCCTTGATGTCCATAGTTGTAATTATCTATGCCTTAGCCCTAATATTTGGTTGTAATTGTTGTCACAGTTATTTTTGGTAACTCTTTTATTTATTTTGAGAAACAGAAAAGACAATGGGAGAGAAGTGGTGGTGGTTCAATGCCCCAGGATGGATGCTTGTGGCCAGGTATTGGTCTCTTCTTTTTATTATTGTTTTTATTAGGAGTTTTGTTTTAATGAAAAGATTTATGTACTTTTAATGTGAAGTTGGGTCGAATACATGTGTGCAAGGATGGACTTGTGGAATAAATTTATTGGGCAATAAATCAAATATTGTAAAGTAGCTCCTTTATCCTTTGGATCATCCAGTTTGTTTATTTTGCTTTTAGTTGAAATATATAGTGTTTATCTGTAAGGATGTTAGCAAGTTCTAAAATTCCAAATTTTTACTTAGTGTCTTATGGATATCAAAGATCTAAATTCTTTTCAACGCTATTTATTCATTCAGTTGTCATGTAGCAGTTGATTATTTTACAAAATTTTCTATCATGAGAAGTTGATCATTTCACAATCTCTCCTTTTACACTAGTGTGTGCATTTTTCCATATAGGGTAGCAACTTTGATGGTGATTTTTTTGTTTTTTTTTTCAATTGGCAGGTGATTATTTATATTTATGAAGATAATTATATTAAATTGAACAATCATAATTTATAAATAATAGAGCAAAAATAATCAATCTTTGTCTTTGGCATAAATTGACTCCCTAACCTTGTAATTAGAAGTATGTAAAAATTGTCAACTAAGCTAGTCCACTTGATTAACTGTTCCACTATTGTGGCAGTCCACTAAGCTAGTGTTATTTATATTGGTGTTATTTATATTGTGGCAGTCCACTAAGCTAGTCCACTTGATTAACTATTCCACTGGTGTTATTTATATTTCTTGCCAAACTCTTCCACTATTGTGGCAGTCCAATCTTCCACTATTCTGTTCTGCTGATCTGTTTCCCCTGCTGTAGTATTCAATTCTTTTTTGGTTTCAGGATTGGACAAAGTATGATAACTGATGTTGAGCAGAGGAGTCTTATAACACCAGGGAAGGTAACATAACCATGAATACAACCCTTACCTTGTATTGTATAAAGGATGTGTGCAATCTTGATGTGCTTTGCCTTTTATTTTTGCTGTATTTGGACAATAGCAGCCCTTGTATATTAAGGCAACCCTTCCATAGATAGGCCGCCTTAACAAAAATTGGAGTCCATGAAACTAATTTTTTTATGCACCATCAGCACATAAACACTTAAATCAACAGCTGTAATGTACCTTTAACCCTAATAATAATATATCTTTTGTTGTAAACAAATGATCTGAAGTAGAACACAGCATGAATGCATTTAACACATCGTGGTGTTATTCTTCATGTTGGCTCAAAATGCTTCCTGTAAATATGTATGGCACGTTATGTCCTCAATATGTTGATAATCACTTTAGTTTAGATTAACATTTATCCTGTCTATCAAATAAATAAATAAACAAATAAATAAATAAATAAATTAATTAATTAATTAAAATATATTATGTTTACCATTCTGATGCAACAATTTTCTTCTTTTTTCCCCATCTCCTCCGCCCCCCCTCTATCTAGAGCATTCTGGTGGAGCCAACTAATGGAAACACTGGCATTGGACTTGCATTTATAGCTGCTTCAAAAGGATATAAGCTCATATTGACAATGCCAGCCTCAATGAGTCTAGAAAGAAGGGTTCTTTTTAAAGCTTTTGGAGCTGAGCTTGTTTTGACTGATTCTGCTAAGGGGATGAACGGAGCAGTTCAGAAAGCTGAAGAAATTTTGAATAGCACGCCAAATGCCTACATGCTTCAACAATTTGACAATCCTGCAAATCCAAAGGTATTTTGCTGCAATTTTTTTATTCTCTCCCAAGCACCATGTTCCTCATCTTCAAATTCCCCATCTTCAAATTCTTCAAATTCCTCACTAGCTTTTGGCCTTTTATCATTCTGCAGGTTACAAACAGTCGAGGAGATGTTCTCCAATGTAGTCATTACATGCCTATTGTTCGTCCAGAAGGAAAGGCTTTGCCTTGTGTATTTTTTTGAAGGTACACGGAGTGGGGTGGAACATGGCCACATAGACCTGCTGAAGACCTTGCATTTGCAGTCGCTCGTACCATTGTACGTGGAGGGAGCTTTCAGAATTATTATATGGTAAATTAACTGGACAGACAAGTGCTTCAATAGCATGCATTCTAAGATGCAAAACAATTAAAGGGCGAGTGATATACAGAATTATTATATATCTTTTGGCTAAGTGATATTCAACATTTGTTAGGGTTAAAACAAATTTCCTTTGCTAGAATATTTTATATTAGTTACCATCAAAACTTGCATGATTTCCATGGTTTGCTCACAAGATACAGAACACCCTAAAGGGCGAGTGAACCTTCTAAATTTATGTGAGCACCATATTTTATTTTGGTAATCATGGGTTACCAATGTATGATATACATATTTTTATGTATATATGTATTTCTCGTCACCCCTGCTAAGCTTTAATACATGGGGGAATGAGGATAGTGGAGACAGTGCAGCCAAGAGCACTATGGAAAAATCCAAGCACCACCTTTGAAAGAGCACAACTTTTGAAGGGATGATGGCATCTTATATACTCATGGCAGTCTTGTATCAGCGACAATGTGGGACATGGCCACTGTTTTTCCCACTAAGTATTAATATGATGGAAAGGCAGAAAGTCGAAACAGTAGAGTTAAGGACACTAAGGCACAATTCAAGCACAACCTCCAAAAAGACCTATGACGCATATGCTGCATATTGACCACCAAATGCATGCTTTCCCTGATTTGTGATTGCAGTTTTTCGGTGGGACAAATTTTGGCCGTACTGCAGGGGGCCCAAACTATATTACTAGTTGCGATTATGATGCTCCAGTTGATGAATATGGTAAGTTAAACTTTACTTAAATAAGATAATTTTTTTATTTTTGGTTAACAACTGATGTATAACTTGGATACAAATATATGGTTTAGTTGCTTATTTATATCACTAATAGCATTCTCATTGAAATGGTTGTTCACCAATCTCACTTTTTATCTCTTTATTTTTCATACAGGATTACTAAGACAGCCAAAATGGGGGCACTTAAAGGATATGCATGATGCTATAAAGCTTTGTGAACCTGCTCTTGTTGCTGTTGATTCACCTCAGTATATGAAATTGGGACCAAAGCAGGAGGTTTGTTTTAACTGCATGATCTACTTAACTATTAATGGCAAAGTTATCTTAGCTTCGTTATTTTCGTTAGCTAGAAGTATCAAAAGATATATTGCAATTTCTATGATGTCAAGTTGTAGCCTCTGATGTTTTTCCTACTAGCATACTGTAGAGTTCAGCATCAAGCAAGACCCAATTTTTGAAGTTCTAGGATTGGAATTTTCATTGTTGACTGTGTTTTTCACCTAATGATATTTGAAAAGAAAGTGTTTCCATGCTCGTGGCATTGAGGTGACACTGTTTCAATGCAGTTTGTTGGTAGTGTAAAAGTATAAAGCTCTTGGGATGAAATGATAAGTATCTGAACTTATCATTAGTATGGGTAATTTAAAAGCAAGCACGCCTATTAGTGTTTGTTGTATACTGCAAATGACTAATTTAATTCCCATAGTCTAGACTGAGCAAGAACATCTTTTCCGGAACATTCAGAGGAATGAATATCACAATCTTTTTGACTTCATCAGGTTGCTATAAGCTTCTCATGTTCTGTTATGGAGAGTTGGAAGTTACTGCAAAATGTTCTGATAATTTGATAGGCATGTTCTGATAATTTGATAGTACTGCAAAATGTTATATTTCTTTCCTCAAATTATTTAGGCCATATGTATTATTTGGGCTTCCTATAAAATCCTAATATTTGCACCTTTCAAGCACAAATGCTCCCACACCCTTTGACTTCTCCGGGTGAACGTACTTACTCCCTCTTCATGCTTTCAAAAGATGAGAAAAAATTGAGCGTGGAACCATTTTTTGGTCCTTTAAATCTTGCATCAGAAACTTCAATCTTTTAATTCATATCATCATGTTTCCATTCCAGAAAATTTCTGCTGAACTGTGCATGTACTGAATCTTCTAGTATGGCTTACCTTTTATTGTGCATTTGCATGCTTTGGCCTATATTTCAATTATTTCATTATGTATTCTACAGGTCTCTGTCTTTCAAAATTGGCAGATTTCATGGTTGAGTGTCTTCATGGTTGAGTATACTATCCATTAGATGATGCCAAGATCAGTCTCGAGGTACTCTTTTAATAAGTATGTTCTTGAAGGAAATAGGCTGTAACATATTAAAAGACACATGCTTGCAAGGGAATTAGCATTAAATTAAGAAGTTAATTTGCAACTGATCCATACATGTTTTAGTTTTTGTAATGTATGTTCTACATGCCTTTAGGGAAGCAGAGTCTATGGTTTTCTGCAGTTCTTGACATTGGCATGGTGTCGAACTGTTGGTTGAGGATAAGTTATTGGGTGTTGTTTGTTGTGTAAATCCATATCAGCAATGAAGTATCTCTGGATGTGAAGTCAAATAAAGATGGAATTATAGGCAAACTGTTGTAACACATGAAAAAGCTTGTACGACATGTGTCCCATAATGGCAGATGATACAGTATCTCTGAAGAGGTTAATTTTGTAACGTTAGGAATGATGATATTAATATATATGAGAGATGATACGGTATATTATGGATAATGTTTTATAAATGATGAGATGAGAGTTAAAGATGTAAAATAAGAAATAAAGAAGTTAAAATGAATGGTAAGTGTAATATTTTAGTGTTTTAGTCTTATTATATTTAAAATTTAAAATTATATAATATATATTATATACATATAAATATGTTTAATAAATATAATAATAGTTGGAGTGGGGTAGAATGGGGGAGGGGTGGGGAAAATTGCCATTCCTATGAGCGGGGGTACCTACACTTGCTACCTATTTGCATTAAATTGGTATTCTGTGATTCTACTGTTTGAACATGTGCCTGCATCTTTGTTTCTTTATGTTTCTCTTCCTCTGTCTCAATCTCTCTCCCTTATTCATCCCAGACTCAACTAACTTTAGAAGAAAGGAAAACTTAATTTGTTAGAACTTAATTTTTCTCTGTTGTGTACCTATTTATCTGGAATTAGAATACAAGCATAGGTGTAATGCATTCTACTTGTATCTTAGTTAATAGTCAAAGTAATTATCTGTATAGTACCTGAACTATATTTTCTGCCATCAAATTTACAGGTCTGCCTTGAAGGGCAGATTATCCATATTAAGTTGACTAGTTAACCAAGATTTTTCATCAAGACTTCTGAACTTTATTTCTTTTGTGATTTTTTTTTTTTTTTGTTTTTTAATTTCAGCTTGGATATGGTTCAACTGCAGTGGAACTTTTGACAAGGTAAACAAATATTTTTTAGGAAAAGACCTTTCTTAAAGAGTACTGTTGCTTTCTCATAACTAAAAAGCAAAAAAACCGATATTCAGAAATGTAGCTCTGTTGCTGACCTTAAAAGCTTACCGAACTAGCCTAGCGGTTTTATTCTCTACGACCTCACTTTCCTCATTTGTATGATCGTGCACCACAACACATACTTCACTCGCTGCGGTAGCGCTCAGTGTCGGTCGTGTACCCGGTGTGGGCGTCTCCTTCCCCACCTACCTTGCCATCAAAGTCGCAATGAGAAGTGTCCGTGAGATGATGAACCTTCCTCCTCAAAGCTAGACCCAGCTAAGCTAATTCGCTTTAGAGTGCCTCTATCTAGCTCTGATAGCGAGCGTCGTTCGTCATCTCGTAAATGACTTTCATCAATCAAGCCCTCTTTTTCCTATGTTCTTTTCCCCGCTCTAGCCCTGCCTGCTTCGGAAAATGTCTTGCTGGCGAACTAGAAAGAGTTACCTTCTACTGGAACCCCAAAACTACGATTTCTGCGCTCTCAACATGCATTTGAGCAAGCTTCCGATCAGCCTCGTAGCCGTCTAGCTCTTTCTTCCCTCTCCTGTTACCTTTCCTGCGTTCATTAAGACAGGTCGATTGCATTTGCTGAATGCTTCAATCGCTACTGAAAAAGCCTGAATGGGAATCATACTGAGGCTTCAACGTGAAAAATAACGCATTGAAATAGCCTTTGAAAGACGTTCACCTCGTGCTTCTTTCGAGGGAAGCACTAGCTTAGCGCACAGCTCTCCTGTAGCTTATTGCTGAACTGAATTGCACTCGGTCTACACCCTAACCCTTCCGAGAATTCAATGTCTTTGAGTTGGTGGTAAGTGAGTAGAGCCCCTAAGTAACTCATTTAAGTAGATGAACCACGCAGCCAGGCATCACCTGACTGAAGAAAAAAGACAGGGTATCGGAGGACCAGTCAACCTCGTAGCAAGGAAGACTCACTGATGATTTAGATGGAGGGCGGAATAAGGCACGCAGAATAGTACGGAGTCGGAGATCATAAGACTCAAATCTTTTATTAGACAGTCCTATAGCCCGGGGCATGAACCATACATAGGATTTAATAGGGACGGGGTTCCAGTGAGCCCCAAGAAGGCAGGCACCAACCGAAGAGCATAGCATCGGAGACAGGAACTTCGCTCCAAAGAACGCTTTTGAGCGATAGCACAAACTGAGCTAGATGTGTCGTCGACCACAGAAGTGGGCCACGCTTAGCCAATTCACCCGGTGCTTGGGACAAGGCTCATAGTTTGTCTCATATCTAGCCCTTCGTCTGCACGTTTCACTCATGCTGAACACCTACTCAATCAAAATGGAATTCGGAGACTTCGGAATGGTATCGAAGACCAGAATCAAGCTCGATAGGTTCAGGTAAGGAGGGTTTCAGGATTTCCGCGAAAAAGGCATAGGAATCCGTTCCCTGCCAGCCTCCGTTTTGTTTGACTTGGGAGGGGACCCAGCCCTCTAACGTTGCGTGAGGGGTGCAACGGTCTCATGGGGCGGATTTCTTAGAGAATGATGTTAAGTAGCCCTACAACCATCGGCATACCCTGGCCCGTCAGGCTGCTTCTAACACCTTATCGCGTCAATTGAAGTCCACCTTATTTAAGATGAGGCCCTTCGATCGATCGGTTCAACCGGATCAGGGTCTGACCTCTCGATCTTCGGGGAATTAGGGAAGATCCCCCTCTTTATCACGAACCGACGGACAAACGGAAGTCGTAAATAGGAGTTTGGGCAATATGCTTCGCAGGCTAGTTGTAGAAAAGCCCAAGCAGTGGGATTTGATCCTTCCACATGCAGAATTTGCGTATAACAGGAGCAAGAGTCGCACAACACAGATGAGTCCATTTGACATTTTGTATGGGGCCAATCCAAACAGCGTCCTAGATTTGGTTCCTATACCAAACTCAGGCAAGATTAATGGGGATGTAAAGGAGCTAACACGTCACATTCAATCCATTCATGAACAGGTTCACCAAAGGATTGAAGCTAGCAATGCTAAGTATAAAGAAGCTGCTGATAGACATCGACGACCATTTAGCGGGTTCCCTATTATTTTAGTCTTGGTCGAGCCATTCCGGCTACAGGACCGAAAATAGCCAGATTGGAATCCCAAAGCACTTTCCAATAACTGAACCTCAACCGAGCTGCGGAATCCAACACTTAAAGCCTAGTGCCCTTCTCAAGTAGTAGTTCCGGCTTTACGTAATAGGGACATCCCCAGTCTTATATATGGGCCCTTCTTTCAGAAAATGTACTTGATCCGAACAACTCAACTACTAGTCTAGTATGGTAGTTTTTTCCATATGCATATACAAGGGCTGGTCTTTCTTCGAACTGAGCAAATAAATATAGATTCGATCTGCTCTCACTAACAAGAGTGTCTTTCGCTTTATAGGAAAACACCCACTTAACTAGCTTTATAACCAGATGCCAAAACATTCCGTGTGGTGAGAGGCGAGCGAAGTGAGGACGACTGTCAAGAGAGAAAGGAACGAAGGAGACGAGAAGCAACACGAAGCCCAGTTCGGACCCGAAGTCGATCTTTGACTTCAGAACCAATGGAGGGTTTAGCAGCTGAAAGCATGTCTGCAGACTTGGAACAGATGAAAGAACAAATGAGAGAACTAATGAACATGGTAACTACCATGATGTCTGCACAGATTACTGAAAATCCGGCACAGACCCAGCAACCGCAGCAGGCAATACCATCGCAATCAATACCTGTTGGGCCTGGGGCTTCCCAGGTGACTGGTACTACCACGGAAATACCCACCCCTGCACAAAATCCGATTTTTCTTGCCAGATCACCAAGAAGTCAATCCCGATCAAGCAGAGGAAAGGAAGATGATAAGAAGGTGACAAACAAGCAGGAAAGTCTGGAAGAAAAGATCAGGGGTCTACAAGGAATCGACGCTTATGGAAGCGTAAACTTATCCGATCTATGCTTCTTTTCAGATCTG